ATACTTTAACTTATATCAAAATTTTGAAATTTAATTTTTATTTTATTAATTAAAACTGTAAAACTTTTTCTGCGATATTAATTGTGCTGGTGCATTATTAATTATAGTTATAAAAAGATCAAAATAGAGTAGTTTATTTTGTTTTTATAATTTTATGTGTGTTTTTTGTTTCTTATTATATAAAAAATTTTATATAGATACTAATATAGTCGCAAAAATGTGATAAATATAAGTTAAGCTGTAATAATATAAATTAAATAAAGATATATGTATTTATTACAGATCTGTAAAACATGATTTAAGTAAAGTGTTTATTCATTCTTAGTGCTAAATGGTTCTTTTAAACTTTATTTTAATTCTTTTTAAATTACCATTTTACCATTTTACCCAAAATTACCTTACCATTTACCGTAATTTACCAAATAAATTATCGTCAGATTGGGTCATTTTCATCTCTATTTGTAACAAATGTGGATCGAGACTGATAAGTATAATATAAAAATTGTTCGCCTCGACATATTAAAAATATGGAAACTGTTTCCTTTAATAAACTAAATTTTTTAAATTATATTTTTATCTGTGAGAAAAATTAGGCAATCACTTTAAGTTATCATTTCATTGTTTTATATATAGTATATGTGTGTCGAGTTAAATATATTGTGTTTATTTCAAGTATTGAATATTGTAGATAAGAATTTTTACTCAACTATTTGGACCAAATAATTTACTTACAATTACAATCTATAACAAAGTTCCAGGATTAGTAAAAAAGATGTAACCAACAAGTTATAATTAAACATACATTGTTATTTGATATTTGCTAATAGTAAAAAACCTAGGAAAATTTATTTGACATTATTTCAAGATACAATTTTTATTTATTGTTTTATGTTAAATATACATATATAAAATGTTTATATAAATGATGTGCATATGTTAAAATTTATTTATTTTTTATGTTATTTATAATTTTATACATAAAAAAATTATATCTTCTATAAATCACAGAATCATGGAGAAATTATTTGTATGTTGATTTTTAAAAAATGTTTTATCTTTTTTGTTCTTTATAGGTAAAAGAAGAAGATGAAAATAAAGCGCAGTAAATCTCTTTCTCCTGAACCATCTAGTAGCAAAGATACAAAACGTATCAAACTTGAAGAAATTACAAATTTAAATGGAACATCTCTGAATATTCTTGAATTCTCAGATGATGTTTTACTTAATATATTAAAATTTTTATATCCTCAAGATCTTATGGCAATCAGCTTGTGAGTTGTATTTCTGAGTCTACATTATATTACTTATAATGTTTCTTTTAATATAATTAACTTCTTTGAATCATAGATGTTGTCAAAGATTTGCACAGTTAACGCAAGACAGAACTCTGTGGAGAAGAGTAGATTTTCGAACAAAACCGATATTTCTAGATGATTTGAATCAATACATGAAATTTTTACAACCAATAACAATGAGTTTGGCAATGCGTGGTGATCTGATTTCTCATGAACGTTCGTCTCTTACACTAAAGTTTTTTAATAATGTGAAAATGCTATGTGATCAACTCAAAGAATTAATCATTGAAGAATATTACATCAATGGAGATAAGGTATATTTTATGATAGAAATGATTATAATGTAACATTTTTATTTTTAACTCTAGGTCTTAGCGGAATACAATGCATCCAGTGCGATTTAGTCATTTCTGAAATTACATTTCTTTAAACTATTATTTAAATATATTATTAAAATATTTTTGATTCTTGTTTATTTGTTTTTATTAGACTCTGAAGTATTGATTCCATACGTGTTGAGCTAAAAAAATATGCTTTCAGTTCAGAAATATAACGTAACAAAGTTACAGACCCCTGTGTGGTGAGGAATCAAAAATAACAATGACTTAGGATTAAAATGTTCATTATGTTGTTACATTAGATTTTTTCTTGCCTTTTTCTTTTTTTTTTATTAAAAAAATATATATTTAATCTATTACAATACAACTTTTACAGATTCATATAACAGATTTTCCTGGCACTATTGAAAAGCTTTCATTAGAAGGTTGTAAAATGAATTACCTACAAAGTAATAAATCTTATTTTTTTAAAATGGATCTTCACATGCCTAATTTGACAGTAAGTTGGTATTTTAATACAGATACAGCTTTTAATATCAAAATATTGTTTTTGCATTTTATTTTTTTTCGATTATTTCTTTCATATTTGTATTTGCAATTTTATAATTTATTTTTTAATGAGGTGCTCTATGTAAATTACTTTGTAAAACATAACACTACACATAGTTTGTAATGTAACTACGTTTTTCAGTAAGGACATATATAACAGCGAATTGCGTCCTTGTTATTTGCTAATAATTAAACAAGGATGAAATGTTTCACTGTTATACTGTACCTTGCTGGAAAATGCATTGACACTATGAAATACATATACTTAATGTATATTTGAAACTTAATTTATTTTTCAGTAAATAAGTCATTTGTAATTTCATTGTTTTTGAAATAAAAATTGATTGATAATGATATTAATGATATTAATGAAAAATTACTTGAAGATATGGTAAATAAATAAATATATTTATTTATCGCTTTTTTCCATGATTATAATTATGATAATTATTGTTATTGTGTTAAAATTTGATATTATTTTTAGTGTTTGATTTTAAGTAATTGTGAGTGGTTTACGCCGCATTCCTTACTAGTTATTAGCAAAATACCAAAACTTAAAGAACTTAGACTGAACTCATGCCATCGTCTGGGCGAGTGTGTTGCATATGCTAGTTTAGCAACTAGATTTGGATTCAAAACATTAGAGGTATAATGTTTTTCTTATTTGTATATTTTAATTATATTACATCAATTATTCTTATAATCTTATTGGATAGATATTTCACATAAAATGTTTTTATATTTTATATTAGGTTTTAGACTTACGTGATACAGCACTTGGTGATAGTGAAGTCGGTTGTTTTAGTAGCACTAAAACATTAACACATCTCTATTTGGAATGTCCTTCGACATGGAGAAATGAAGAATCGCCCGAAGTTATACAACAGCGGCAACAGGCTTTGCGATTACCTATATTTGAAGATGGTAATCTAGCACAGGTATGAAAGAACCAAATTTATAAGTATTGATTATAATGATTGGTATATTTATATTTATATATTTTTATAAGCATAAAATAGATGCTAGTATATAAATATAAATTATTCTAATTCAGTTTTTAGTCGAGGATGGATTTTCTTTTGAGAATTATGGATTTCAACGATGTTTGATATCAGATAGAGCAATCTGTGCACTTGGAAGTGATACTTGCGATAGAGAAGTTGTAAATAGCTTCCTTGCTCCACAAGGAATGATAATATTACGAGAAGATAGACGAATATCTAATAATCCAAATCTTAAAACGTTAGTTGTTAGGTAAGTCTATTTATGTCACAAAAAATATCAAAAAGTTTTAAGAACTCTTAAGAAGAGTGGAAAATACTTTAAATGGTTTACCTGATGTTCTTTTTTTAGAAATTATCCACGTGTAACGAATTCGAGTCTTACCCATTTGGTTTCAAATGCATCGAGATTAGAATACTTGGATGTTACTGGTACTTCTGTGACAAGAGATGGTGTTGAAGAGTTTAAATCACGAAAAAACAATGTTAAAGTGGTCTCGTCATTTGATGAAACATAGTTAAGGTCATGTCTAGCAAATTAGAAATTAATGAATATATTAATCCTTTCCGTTTAGAAATTATAAATACTTTTTGAAAAGTATTAAACTTTTATATTTTTTTAAATACTACGTTGTGCTTCAAGATAGGATTTACTTAAGACTTCTGACTACTCGATCAAGAACGTGTTTGGCGACGGTGGTACAACACTATAACGTGGTAGAAATTAGAACCTTGTTTATTATTAAGACCCGTTCTACAATATGTCGATGTTATAAGCCGTAAGAATTGACCAATCACAGTTAAAGTAAACACAGTAAAGAGAACACAAAATAATCACAATAAAGAGAATACTCAATTGTGATTGGTCAATTATTATTTACGATACTGGCATACGACGTATTATGAAACAAGTTGACGACGAAATTTTGTTTTGTATGTCATTGTATGTATGTTTTGTATGTTATTTATGTGCTTAATTGTGAAAATGTGTTTAATCTTGTACTTATCAAATTCGTAAAAATGGATGGAAGTAATGTTATTTTCGAATACGTAAAAGCATATTTTTCACATCTTTCAACAGCTACCAAACCATGTGTTTTTCTGTCTGAATAAGCTTTTACTTCACATACGACTATTTACTGACTGTCAGAAAGGAAAAACAGTTATTTTTCGTCTATTTTTATAAGTGTTTTAAAACGCTTCTATTTTTTTTGTTTCATCCAAATTTTCTTTACAAATGACATGCAAGAAACTTTAACGTGTCTTTTCTCGTTTATGACATCCAATATTGATTCCAATATGGCCACGGTGAGTCAGAAGCCTTAATGTTCAAACTATTTTCTAGAAGTAAATAATTTTGAGTATAATTTATTTGTGAAAAAATAGGACAGATAGATAAATTTGTTTTTTTCTGACAAGTCAACATAATTAGTGAAGTATTATAAATATTCTTTATATATTTTTTAGACTTTCAGTCTCATTGTGTTTAACTAATTAATTATGATATAATACTTATTGTAATTATTATTATGATTAATATTGTGATTGTTTTTTATTTTCAGTATTATTGCTATAATTTTTTTTACATGCGCACACACACGCACACGCACGCACGCGCACACACACACACACACACACACCTGTCTCTTATACA